GAGAATAGAGCAGTATCTTTGATTGAGTTCTATTTTATAAAATAGTGCTATATTTTTGATTTAACAAAGCATACAATGATAGAAAGATTTACAAATATGAATCTTTTAGATAGATTTGAATCATAGATTGAAATATAATCAAAATATCATAATGATAAATTGTCATATTTGATAATAACCTTTGATTACTTGAAGAAGCAGAATATAACTTCATTATTATCAAATTTTATTGAGTGTTCAACAAAATCTAATTAAAAGATTGATTTATAACAAAAGCTTTTGGAAGGTATAAAGATTGATTCTCCATATGATTTTGATGATTCTAAAAACTTAGATATATAACCAGAATTTACTTATTAATAATTGAATTCCCCTTAAGAAAAATCTTCAACATACGAATTATTATTTTAATAGAAATTTTATAATCGATATCATGATATTTCTGGAGGAAGTGATGATGTTTCAATAATGAAGAAAAACTTTTAAAAATAAGTAAGTATGCCTTAGTTTTATTCAGAAAATAACAAACAAAAAATATCTGTATAAGATGTTTGTACTCCATCAAAGAAAAAAGAAAAATATGATTCAAATTTTTAAGATAAAGTGGAATTTATAGATAAAATGGGATAGAAAAAGATTAAAAATATATTTGTTAGATTAGCAATCCTCTTTTTAGTTGTTTCTTCATTATTAGGAATAGTATCCTTATTACTTTAAACATTTTTGATATAAAATAATTTTAATAATTACATCACAGATGTTGAATAACTGTCAATTAAAAATGATCTCCTACAACCTATGTTAAGCTTCTTTATATTGAGATTTATCATATATGATAAAACTAATCTATTAAATTAGAAATTAATAACTTAGGAATAATATTTGAATGAAACTGATTTTGCAAAATAATATCTTAAGAAAGAATTTGATCATTTTCATAATCATATTTAGGAATTATTTGAATCACAACTGTTGTAAGATTTATTATACGATCATTATTACAATGTAATTTATTTATAAGACGACTTTACTTATACGTATGAAAACTTTAGTGCTAGAACCTTCTTTATAAAATATTTTGATTATCAATAATTTATTTATGCAATATACTCTAATAATGAACTCCCTAAAATAACTACTCCTGTCACTTTCTAAATGCTAAATTAAAAATTATTGTTTGATATTTGTTCATATTTGGGTGAGTAAGTTTATACTAATACAATAACTAGAAATTCTAAACAAATTAATGATTAAATTATAGTTATTGCATGCTTTTTAAGTGTTAATTTTATTTGTTTATTGTTCTCTAATTACTATTATAGAAAATTTGCAAATTAAAGGTAAAACTTTGGTAGTATGATGTTTAATATAGAAAAAAGCGCATTAGAATCTGAATTAGAAAATTTAGACCTTTTAATCAATTAAATAGAAAATCATAACATAACTTAATTTTATTCCTTTAATGAAAAGTATAAAGAACGTGAAATCTAAGCATTAAATTAGAAATCAAAAACTCATTATTAAAATTAGCATAAATAAATTCACAAAAAGGCTAAAATCGACACTACTAAATTCTTGATTTTTATCTATACTATGTTTATAGGTTTCTTGACTGTTAATTTAACAAATACTCTTATTCTATCTGAATTTATTTAAAAATATAAACCCACAGCTACTATGCATAAAAATACTTCAGAATTGTGTTTAAATATAGCATTAATTTATAGTTAAAAGGAATAACTGAACAATTAAGTTTTCTTTGCATATTTAAGAAACTCAGATTTTTAGAATATGGTTTAACAGCTGAATTAATCTTCTATATAAATCAAATAATTTTAATAAGAATTATTGAATGTTAATCTAAATAATTTACTATTTAATGCTGATTTTGTATCTTACTTTCTAGAATAAGAAACTTAGGATTTATGTCCACTCATAAATACAGTATAAAATTATAGTATCATAGAATAACAATCAATAAATCCTAACAATTTGTAAGAATTCATTTGAAGGATCTTTTCTCTTAGGGATTTAAGCTGTTTTGAACCATGTATCTAAAATAGTTACATAAGAATTGATGACTTAAGAGTTTACTCAAAGAGAACCAATAAATACATTAGAAGTTGAAGGAGCATATTTGTTTGTTGAATACTTATAAAAAGCATCTGATGTGGCAATGCAAGATTTTTCTGAATAAGTTTTGCATTATAAATCTATTTTAGAAGTATAATATTATTTATAATAGACAATTCTTATTTCATCCATCTCTTTTACATTAATTTTAGTAGCAACTATATTGAGTGCTTTAGAAATCAATTTAAAATTAAAACTAAAGTATGCTGTTAAATTTATACATCTAATACCAAGAGAAGTTTTGTTTTTGGACAATGCTTTTGAAAGGAAAGTTAGAATGGCTATTCTGAAGGATCCGAATTTATGATATTATTATATTTGATTATTTTTAGATAGGTAGATATCTCATATAGGATAGTGATTGAATTAAAAAATTTATGATGTGCATATAACTTTTGAATTAAATGCTAATATTATAATTAATCGGCATCATTTAGTCAGATCGCTTCTTTTATTAAGGATTGCTTATCTCATCTTTGTTACATCTTTTTATCCAGGATATTCTCCATCTTTTAAAGCGATATTTTATGCTATTTAATCCCAAGAGTTTTTCTTTTAATTAGTAACACATAATACATATTGGTTATGATTTTTATTATTTTCAAGCCAGATTTCTTATTTCTACTTATTTTGACTTCTTTTTTATGCAATATCTGCATCTTATTGTCTTAATATAAATCAACAATAATTACTTTTTAAACTCCTGTAAATACTCTTAGGCTTTTTATTTTTTTTACTATTTCAATAATCTTTCTTATTAATCTTTCTCTCTGATTTAAGCTATTCTTTCATCTTCTATTACTCTCAATTTATCCTTTCTTAATTATTATTCTGGACTCTATGCTTAACTTAAATTGTACCACGTATGCATTTAATGTAATTGCTTGAGTTGGTGACTCATTTTCAAATGCATCAAAGACAGCATACTTAAGATACTATAATTTCTTACTTATTAAGCTTATAACCCGTCTTATTAAACATTTTATATATCTTGAGTTTAGGCGTCTTCAAAAAAATCATCCATTATTTAATTTAATTATAATTCAATATTAATATCTGAGTATAATTTATAATCACTTAACTTCTAAAAGTAGATATTATGAAACAAATAATTTGTTGTAAATTCAAAATTCAAATGACATCAAATTTCAAAAATAAAAATGGTATATATTTAATTTTAAATATTTTTTAATTTAAAATTGATAATAAATTACTAATAATTTTGCTAAAGAATGCTTTATCAACTAATAATATTATCATAAAAAAGATTTCATAAATTCAAGTCTAGTTTTTTCTTATTAACTTAATTTATAAATTAAAAATATACTTTCCCTTAAAAAGTTCAACTTTCAAAATATATTCACTTATTTTTATTTCTGATTAATTTTTCAAAGGAAAAAACTACGATTCAAGTTTTTAATCTCTTTCTTGGATTGTTTACAATTACATCCATGTCCCATTAGCTGATTCCTTTTCTTAACTTCCATCTGCAATTTCCCAATTATTTTCTCTATATATTTAGATCTAATATGAATACTTTAAGTTGAATCTAAATCTAGTCTATTTCCTAGATATTGTATTTGAATTGATTCTGACATTATTTTCATTCCCTCTCCCAATTGAAAATACAGAAGATAAATCTTTAGCAAAAAAAATATTCTAATTGTGATCTGTCACTCCAGATCCTCCAAATTTTATCACAATAAATGGTATTTTATAACATTTTAGATTTGTTAGAATTTAATCAAAACTTTAGTCTACCAATAATGTTCTGTCAAAGTGTTTTAGATCTAGTCCTTACAAAGAACACTTATATTTGGCATTTCTTAATTTTGATATCAATCTATCAAACTCTTAATCCTTTGGCTTTTATTCTGATCCTAAATTATGAATTTCAAGAATCTGAATTGTTGTTTCACTTCCAATACTATATTATTGATATTTTTTCATTGCTTAATAGTTTCTATTAACTTTGATATGTGTTCCAAACACACTTCCGATATCTTAAACATAACAATCTTTTGGTTCCCTCAAAAATATAAATATAATACTCTAAATAGGATTAAATTTTCGAAATTATATTAAAAGGTAATCTAAATTCATATAAGGTTTTTTGATATAAAGGTAATAGGGAAGTTTCTTTCCTAAAAAAGTCTTTAAAGATTATTTTGCAATGAATCCTAGAAATCAATCTCTCACTTTCTTTTAAAACTAAACATAGCCATTTTATTACTTATATCATTAGGAAATATTAATTAGCCTTAATAGTTTTCAAGTTTCTCTTGTCTACCTATGATAACATCTTCTGAATCAGCATTTTTTATTGAACCTATCAAACTTTGATTACAAAACACAGATACCCAAATTAATTTATAAAGTATTCAATTTACTAAGTAGGGTTTAATAGATTTTGGTTTTTAATGACAGTTATTTTTATATAAGGCTCACTTTTATTTAATATGGTATTTTTAATTTCATGTTTTCTTAATCTTGTGTACATCTCTTAAATCTACTTTTTTTGACTAATTTCAAATATGATAATTACAAGCTTCTTCCTTCATTTCTATTGATAGATACCATTTAAATTCCTGGATTTTCAAAATGAATAAATGGCGGCGATTAATTGGCTAACTAAAATGATATATCACTATCAAATTATTGAAAACTGATAAATAAATATCAAAAATACATATCGCTAAAGCTTGTGTTGAATAAATTAGCTTCTTCATAAATTAAATATCTGAAATCCATACTAAATTGCGCAAAAAATGGCTACATAATTAATTATAAAAATATTCTAAATAATTTGTTCCCTAAATATAAATATCGATAATATTTAAATTCATAATTTAGCAAATACTATTGTAATGTAGAATTTCAAATTACCCCATTCTAAATTATTCTGGTACATCTAGGAAATGTATCAATAAAATTTAATTGATGATCATGAAAAACAATAACTGAAAGGTACGAAGCCAATAAATTTAAAAAAAAAAAGTAATTATTGAGTCATAATATGAATTAAAAATGATGATAAATTTCTGATTTAATAACTAATTTAATTGGTAAGATAATAAGATTCAAGGGAATTATTTGGATTAATTAACAGGAAGAGTCCTTATCGTATCAATAAACTGCATAAATAGATAACTATTAAGATTACGAATTTCAATTCAAAGTATTGTTGTCTCTGAAGATTTACTTATTTCAATTGTCGAATCTTTATTATGATTATGCAATCATCTCAACATTCCATTCTTAAATCAAGACAACCAGAAGAACTTTTACCATTTGATAATTAAAAATGACAAAAATAGAATTAAATAGATACAATAATCATAATTATTTCAAATAAATATTACTCTATTTCTTAAAATAACCAAAGTTATCCATTATTATATCTCACTCAAATTGTATAGTTCTAAAAAGCATCAAAAATTTCTAGAATATTTTATATCTTTTAATAATTAATATATTGATATCAATTTATTAATTAAATGTTCGTTATTTTTGTTTATATTGATCTTATATATATTAATTTATAATTTATAAAAATAATCATTTAACAAAACAGATAATTATTTTTTACAATTATATAAAAAATTCAATATAGTCTGTAATTTAAGCATTAGAAAGCCTTCAATAATTATGTTATTTATGTAAAATTTAGTAGAATAATTAATGAAATAACAGGGATTTATAAATCTTAGTGTAGTTCGTAAATCAAACCTAATAAAATCACTTTAAAGTATGATCTTATGAATACCCTCGAAATACTTTTTAAATTATATTTTTGACAAATGGATATTTTTATTTTGAATAGAAAATATAAATTTACATTACAAAAAAATAAACGTCATTAATTAATTACATCGTTGGATTTATTACTTTTTTTTTATTTTGAAATTAAAATTTATATTTTCTTTTCAAAATAAAAATATCCATTAGTCAAAAATATAATTTAAAAAGTATTTAGAGGGTATATAATTCATCAAAATCAAATATATATATTTAGTCTAACAATGATATGAATGTTTTTAATTTGTATAATCTTCCAAAAGAAATCACATAACCTCAAAAAAATTATAATAAATAATAGAAGAGTATTTTCTTTTAAATTAACAATAAATAATAATTATACCAAATGTTAATAAAAACGATATTGATTTAAAATTACTATCAATTTATTACACATCCTTTTATTCATAAATTTGCATCTTTATTGTATAAATCATATTAATTTTATATAAGATTATCCTCATGTGAAAATAATTAATAAGTTATAATTCTAAGGATAATATATATTTATGTTAATAGAAAGAATTTTTTGGTTATTTTATAAAATAGTTTAAAGAATAGTTCTTAAAGGTTTTATACTATAATAATAGCGGGTAGCCCCTCTTCTTATTAGCTTGAAAGTAGAACATAATCTTTTGATATAAATTTTTTATACCATTTTTATGAAACTCAATATTTGTTTACCAAGAAAGAATAATGAAAAAAATTTAATTAATTTTATTTCAATGACATCATAATTTGGGTCACCCAAGGACTTCTCTCCTATGGGTTTGGGTT